CCTAGCCCTAGCCCTAGCCCTAGCCCTAGCCCTAGCCCTAGCCCTAGCCCTAGCCCTAGCCCTAGCCCTAGCCCTAGCCCTAGCCCTAGCCCTAGCCCTAGCCCTAGCCCTAGCCCTAACCCTAGCCCTAACCCTAACCCTAACCCTAATCCTAAACCTAACTCTAGCTGCACATTAGGCTATGACCAGGGGGGGGGCGGAATGTCCGACAGGGCTGGTGGTAATTGACAGGGGGTAATTACTCTGGAGGGTAATGTCGAGGGGGGGGAATGTCCGGGGGTACTTGATGAGAGGGTGGATAATGCCCCGTTTCCCGAGTCGTAGAGCGCTCTGCTGCTAGAAGAAGGTCTAGTGTTCGGATCTCTGTTTTGAGACGGGACCGCAGACCGTCTCGCCACCGGGCTCTGATGGGTACCTAAATCTCGTTAGGGAAAAGAAAGTCGCTTGGGCATAGTGATGACCACAACCCTGTTCTATTTGTCTGTTACCCACTACACGAAAAAGCAACATTTAACTGTTACTTACGTGAGTGACCTCGTTACACTGGGCACAATAAACATTTTTGTACACGGCGCCTGTGTCGTTGTCTCTAACGTGAACCATCAGCTCCAACGTCAGGTTCTCACTGGCAACTTCCTCCTGGCACAAGCGGATTGTATCTGGATCTCCGGTGTAAGAGGGGCCGCATGAAGCGATGTAGGGAAACTTGAAGTTGGGTACTGTTGTGCGACTTTCGCAGCCAAACTTTGGTAAATAACCTTCAAGCTGTATAGATACTTGAGTCATATTTTGAAGCATGTTATCATCGTTGATAATCGAATTTTCCAACTTGGTTTCTGCATAATTTACCATGGCTAGGACTGTGTCTGGTACAGGTAGACTTGAATCGGAAACGTTAGGGCAACATAAGCCCTTGATGCCACACGTTGAATCACAGGAGCAAAACGGACAAAATGGTAAACATTCGGCGTTAAATATACTATCTTCTTCAAGCGTGTATTCGCGGAACACCATTTCGTTTCCCTTGCATCTTAACGGGCACGTATATCGATTTAAATGCGCCGCGGGCAATAAAATTTCATAAACATCAATTGTTTGCGTTGCAGTTGGCTCTGTGGATATTGTGCTTATATCAGTAAGATTTGGATATTGATAATTTAGTTCTTCAAGGTGTAGATTCTCCGTGGTGTTTAAGCCCGTCGCCTCTGGTGCGACGAAAGAAGAGTAAAATATAATGTAAATTGTTTGAAATATCGGAGCCCGCTTCGCGAACATTACAGGCATAATTCTTATTAATAAAATCGAAGTGGAATATCAATGTAAGTTCACCGCCATAGATTCAGTTATGAATTACTTCAGCCTTCTATTTGATAGTATGTTAAACAGCGTGGTCGTATGCAGGAATGCTAACCTGAATAACCGTTCAGTTTTAAACAGCAACTCTCAGAAAACAGTGTCTTAAAACTTCGCTTAATTAAAAAAAAATGATGGCATTTGTCGGTTCCTGTCTCAAACAAAGTCGACTGCATGTTTGTCTTAAGGATGTTCTTCTGCGACAATCAACCTTCTAAATAGGTTTGTGCCACGCTAATCCAACCCACCTAAGTCGTAATTGTGATTTACGAGCACCACTTGAGCACTCAACCAATCACCTGCCACAGGAAACAAACCAAGCAAACACGTTTGTCATTATTTCCCCTTACATTTTTGTCATGTCGTGTTTGATTTTTTTAAGGTTTTCAAATTTTCCATTTTCTCTGCGGTAATGGGAATACACGCAGAAGCAATTATGTAAAAGAATATTAAAAATAATTTTCTCTAGCCTCTAGCTAATTACCTGACACTTGATATTTCTATTTTAAAAATATACTGACTTCGAAATAAAGATGTTCTAGAAGGTAGCGTTTTGACGGAGGTCATGGTGACACTGAGACCGGGGTTGGTGGGTTTCTGGCTCAAGATATGCACATATAACCCTGGCCGAAGGCGCGACATTACAGCCAGTGGCGTAGCTAGGATTTTTGGGCCCCTATGCAAAAAGTGTTAGTGGGCCCCTCAGGGGCGTAGCAACCCTTCCCCCTCAGACTTTCGATTTGCACCCCCCTCAGACTTTCGATTTGCACCCCCCTCAAACTTTCGAAAAAGAGCCCCTATTTGCCTTGAGCCCATATGCATTGCTTACGCTAGCTTTACGGTAGCTACGCCACTGATTACAGCCCTTATTATTGGATGATAGTTTAACCATTGCAATAATAGAGTTTGGTTTTATATTTACAAATCATACGATGGTTATCAGTGTAAACTATATCATATGGTTGAGATTTGTTGCTTGGGTGGGTGGTTATATATGATCTTTAGTATAAGATTGTGCTCTTATCTTGATTTAATTGTTAACGGTATAACATCGTTTATATTCCCCCTAAAGTATATGGGTTTCAATGTGATTCTTTATATATGGGTTTTACATTTTTGTTTAAAATATGAGTTTCATTTTGACCTCAGTGTCATGGTGACCCAAGTGTATGTTTTCAACACTCGCAAAAAGTTGAAGTCTAAGCTGAGATTTATAAAAAAAAACAGATATTTTTTATTCCAGCGTACTCAGTTTCAATAAAAAAAAATATTGTGTTTAGAACATTCTTTCGTGGTTTGTTTGAGAAACTGATAGGTTTAATGGATTTAGGGGAGAAAAACGTGGTTGAGAAGTAGGTGATTAAGGTAGGAATGATATTATTGGATGGCAAAGTGGACAAATTGGGATGTTGATGTGAGGCAGGCAGCAGGGAGGGTGGGTGATTTATGTTTGGTGGCTCACGATCTGCACGTTAATCTCCCGTAAAGCAGTTCCTGTCATCAGTAAATTATCGATTACAATCAATCGATGTCTGGTTGACACGAGGTGCTCGCATTTGAGTCTAGATGACGCTCACTTCCCTCTAATACTAGCATTTCGGCCTGAAAATGTTCCCTTTTCGACGGGCCATGGAGCAAGTGAAGCAGAGTTCTTCGGTTTATATGACCTCGGTATATGAAGGGATAATGTGGTCAGCACTATGCACAGCCGCCTTTACTCTCCCTAAAGTGAGTGAAGTGCCCAACAGATCTGGGTGGACACAGGGATGGTCTGCTGATTTGAACACGGGTTCAATCTAGCTCTCTGCGACAAGCCACTTCGTCCCATTGGCGTTCTATTCACAGACCAGAGAGCATTTCAATCCCTGAATGTTGTCGTCTCACGCTTTACATAGCCATTACTGTGGTTAATTTCGTATCATCTTTGAGCTAAGTTATCTCAGCATAAATTAAATCCTGGAATCTAAGCCACGCACATAATGATAAACTATTTCTTAAATAATAAATAAAATGCTAACGTAAACTTAACTACACGCTTACAAACAGGAAAAAATAACATTAAAAACAATGTATTTGATATAAAATTATTTATTTTCTAAAATAATTGGGGATAAAGACAACTTCCATATTGTTCAGATGAGTACATCCTCATGGTAGAATTGGCAGAGCAGCAGTTTATGAAACAAAACAAAATAGACAAATTATCTTCACAAATTAATGGTGTCCCGATATCAAATGGTTTATTATTGTAAACATTTTTTTAAACGGCGTCAAAAATGCAACTTTGTTAATATATTATCAGGAAATAAATTTCAAGGTAATATGAATTTTAAAAAGAATAAAAACCATTTCCCAAACGCTTATACATTTGATTATATAATTCTATAAATGTTCTTATTTTAAGATGTTTTGTGCACAGTATAAAAATTCTTGATTTGGCCTAAAAGTCATAACTGAGCGCGTAAATAAATTCTACACATTTGTAAAACTTTTCCATTAAAAATCTTAATGTCCTTTTACGAATTGTGGATTGTGAGAAACAAATTATAATTTTATTGTCGTTCCAAAACTCCTATTCTTAAGTCTACAAACATTAAAAGTTCTTTAAAACAAGAAGGGGCTATTATTGTACAAAAGACACTAATGATTGAATTTAAAAGTCTACTATTAAATAATAATTTTGTGATTATTCGTTCTGGAAAATTGACAAATCACGACGATGAAAATAGGTTTTTTTCCAAAGAGATTAAAAGAAAAAACAATCTCTTTGGCCAAAATAGATATTAATTGTGAACTTTTGTATTCTAGTTAACTATCAAAATTAACATTAATTAATGACTAGATAATATTTTTTTCTCAACAAAAACGTCATGTTATAGAAATTTAAAAGTATATTGTGTTTGATGAGGGTATAATTATAAAATCGATTGAAACGAAATAATTGCAGATCTAGATTATAATATAATGAGTTAAATGCAAACTGTCTTATATTTGAAGTAGTACGTACACTATCATTACTTAACTAATAGGTAGCAATCATTTAAACAATTACAGTTAAACAAATTCAATAAAATGATTTTCTTAAACAAAATAAAACTTAACATCTCAGTTGTAAGACATTTAAAAGTTTAACATAAATTTACGTATTGCAGATGCTATATATATATTTTTTTTTCTATATGTCTAACTTACTATATATTCCAAGTTAGATCTATATCAAGACTAAAATATTCATTTTAATTAGCACAAGAATTAGATAGTTTTTAAGTATTACGAATTTATATTTGTTGTGTTTCTTATACTAGCCAAACACGTGAATTATGACTAATGATAAAATGTAGGCTATGCCGCAAAGAAAAAATCAATTAAGTTAAAAATTTGTAAAACAAAAAAAAAAACGTTTTTGAAAATATTTTCTTAAAATTTAGAATAGATTCATCGTACATACAACTAAATTTTATTTTATTCAAAGAGTGACAAAAAGAATTAAAATGAAATCGATTACCTTTGCATGTTTTTATTATCTGTGAATTCTCGTATATTTTATCACATGTCGTAGTTGATAAAAAGATGTAACTAACAATATTTATCAGTGCAAAATCGCTCCTATATGCATTGAGAAGATTAGAAAAAAAAACATCAACAAGATGAATTCTCAAATAGACTTAACAACTAGCAAGAATATTGAAAACTGGCTTCAGAACAGAAGTGCTACAGTCAAAACTGTAAAAGACGTACTGGTATCAAATTCAACGTTATCTGTTGTAGAATACGTCATCAATGGATGGTTTGACCTCGTCCTGTGTCTTATTGGAACAGTCACCAACATCATCGAAATATACGTGTTCAGTAAACTCGGTTTCAAGGAAACTGTCAACATTTCCATGACGTTCATTGCATTCTGGGATCTCATCCGTATCACTTCTGGAGGTGGCCACAGACTCTATGCACCCGTGTCGTTGATTTCACCAAGTTTTGGAAAAACCTGGCAAACGTTTACTCTGATGAATTTACATTATTTGCACATCATATCCAGTAACGTGTCTTACGTACTGGGCGCCTACGTGGCTGTTGAAAGATGTCTTTGTGTGAGCGTCCCATTCAAAGTGAAGAGTATTTTAACACCCAAACTTACGACCACAGTATGTGCAATTCTATCATTTGTCGTGTTTAGTACATTTGTACCCATATTTTTAGTATTCGAACCTATATGGATTTATAGCGAACAAAGCAATAGTTCAATAATGATCTACAAGTACACCGAATTTTATAAAACTTACGGTGAAAAATACCAAGACGCAAATCAAACTTTAGGGGCCGTTTATCCCAGTTTCAGTTTGATCACAATGATATTCAGTACAATAATCATCTCCTTCTATCTAAACAAAACATCAAAAACTAGATATGGCCTTACGCGAACAAACCCAAAGACGACTAAACAGCAAACCATGAGCAGGAAAGAGAAACAGGTTGTAAAAATGTTACTGGTGATTATCAACATCTACATCGTCAACATCATGCCTCGAGTCTTGGGCTGTCTGGCGATGTTGATTGAACCCGAGTTCTACATTTTCAGGTTCTATAACAACTTGTTCTGGGTTATCATGTACACAGTTTTTGCCCTTGATTTTTTAAACTCTTCTGTTCATCTTTTTGTATTTTATTTTATGAGCTCCAAGTTCAGAAACATGTTTCACCGTATATTTATAACTAACAATGAATGCAAAAAGGAGCATATGTCTGATTATTCCAGTCATCATGATTTGAATTCAATACAACATAAATTGTTAAGTACTAGAATTTAAGCCGTTTAATGAAGTTAGTTTGGTGTAAAGTTTCCAAAATAAAAATGTCAATAAAGCAATAATTAAAATAAAAAATTCGATAAATACAATAAAACATGTTAACAGAATATATTTAAAACAGTAACCACTTAAATTATTTGTTAAATTTCTATGTTAAATATATTTATAAAATGTGTATTAAAGAATCATAAAACGATCTTGATATGTTTTATTTCTGTTTTGTGTCGCGATAATGTGGATGCACGCTGTGTGCGTCCTGATTGTGTGGGGTTTGTGATTTGGTTTGGGTGGTTTTGACGTTATGTGTGTTAAGCAAATGATGTGGTGGTTGGGGTTGTATGTTTACGTATGCATTACTAAACCTTTCATTAGATCGACATGAAACTTGGGCGTACGTTTGTTTGAAACAGTGCGATAGTCTATGGATAAGATGGGGCATTTAGTCATTCACCAAACTGAATCAGGCGCGTTCACCGGCGCCCAATTTGGTGCAATTTGGCGCAACGGGCGCTATACTGCATACGTCCGTTTTAAAAAGTGTGATATCATATGAATAACAAATAGTATTATAGTCGTTCAATAAACTGAATCAGGCGCGTCCGACCGCGCCTCTGCAGGTTGCAATTTGACTCTGGCTATCCTGGGACTTTATTTTAACCCCGAGGCATTACTACACCTTTCATCTTCTTGCCATGAAACTTTGGGAAGCTGTTGAGAATACTCATGGGAAAGTATCTGCGAAAAAATAATTTCAAAGTCGCGGGATATCAAAATAAAAGTCGGATTAGGCTCGACACCGTTTATCCGATTGCCATAACACTTTGCGGAGTAGATGAGAATTGTCCCGAGAAAAAAATAGATAATTTCTAATAGGCAGTCCCTGGGAGGGTGCGATCATCGGCAATACACCTTTTAGCGCCGGGCGTTCAAGAACGGCTTCGTTAGAATTCGGCATCCGATAATCGGGCTTCCTGCGTAGCGGGTAAGGGGTCCCACTATATTCAGCGGTGAAACTGCAATAGGCGCTACCGCTGGCGCCCCGTCAATTGCGCAACCTGTTGTGCCCCAGGCTCCCATGTGAGAATAATGGTTACATGAAATTACTCAGTTTTAGCAACAACAAAAAAACAATGAATCTAGGATTAGTAACTGAATGATGAAACCCTGTTAAAATAGTACGTCATAATTTCTTCTAACCCCGCGGCAACACGCGGGGACTGGCAAGCTAGTCTCTCTAGATATATAAAGCAAAGTGATCAGATACTTTCTGGCGCCGCAGGCGCTTCAAATTTGGCAGGCTCTTGCCTTGGGGCAATAGAACACGAGGGCCGAGGCCACAAAGTCCACGAAGAAAGGGTCAAAACTGAACGCGACTAACCGTAGCCTAATATAAGTTATATAACGAAAAAAAATTCACACTTAGCTGATCCGATGCGTAGCGCAACATATAAGACAAACAACCACAAACGGTTTACAAAACAAGACTGAATGAAACAAAGGCTCATTGATAACTAAAAGAATTTAATAGTATATACACTATCTACACCTAACACAGTCTAGTCTAAATACAAAATACACAAGCTAGTAAACTAAGATACATTGGCTAAAAACTAGTATAAACCTAACCTGTACTCACCTTAGAGATCTTGACGAAACTAAGGCCACCACACACCTTTTCATACACCTTATACACCCTTTCATAAACCGGTACAAACCGGACTATTACAACTCACAGCACGAAAACTGAACAAGGACAAACGGGATAGGGTACCAAGTAACAACAACATTCACCCCCATTCATCACCTTTCACTACAGGAACCTCTTCATAACTTCTGAGGTTGTAGACCGACCCTCGGATGTAGCAAAAAAAAACGATGAAATACTCGGAAAAAATCAAGAAAGGCTTTAGAACTGATCGATGACTATTTTCAAATACAATTTTAGTTGTTTTTTTTTGCTCTGTACATAAATAAAAAAAAATACAAATATCTAGAAATACAAAAAAAAAAATCATAACTCCTGATGTTGCATAAATACCTCTGGGGTCACTATAAAATATGCGTTATCTTTGGGAAAACTTCGGAAGGGCTTTAAAGTTGACCGGTCCTAATTCCTCATATAAACATTGTTAGTTTGGTGAAAAGCGATGACTATTTTCAAAACATATCTAGGGTATTTTGGCTCTGTACATAAGGTTAAATTTTTTTCATAGACCTGGGTAAAAAAAAATCGGCCGAATGGATAAAATATTGGTCAGCCTCTAATCACAAGACTAGGGGTAAGAAGTAACCACGAGTGATATTCTCCTTATATTGAAAAAAATATATTCTGCAGAACGACCACCATTGATTTTTTGTGAGATCGTAGAAAAACGCATATGAATGTATGAAAAAACTCGCCATATGTGGGAGCAAAATGTAAATCGGCCAAAACTGACGTGTAGTATTTCTCTATGTTATAATTGTAATTTATGTGAACAATTAGATAATTTTATCTAAGATTTTATGGTATTATTTGTTCTCTTATATTTTGTCCCGGTATCTTTCGTCCGTGAGATCATTTGTCCTGAGATCAATTGTCCTGTGTTCATTTGACCGTGAGATAACTTGTCTGGGATATTTTGTCTTATATCATTTGTACTTAGATCGTTTGTCCTGTACACACAAACTCACACACACACACACATATGTATATATATAAATATAAATATAAATATATATATATATATATATATATATAAATATATATAAATATATATATATATATATATATATATATATATATATATATATATATATATATATATATATATATAAATAAATATATATATATATATATATATATATATATATATATATATATATATATATATATATATATATATATATATATATATATATATATGCGTGTGTGTGTGTGTGTGTGTGTGAGTGTGTGTGTCCCGTGACAATTATCTCAGACAAATCATCCCAGGCAAAATATATCACGGCGGGCAGGCCCTAAGGAAGAGGACATCTACTCTAAAGTCAATAGTTATATTTCGATAGTGCTACTGTGACCAATGTTTATATTAACGACAGTAGTCGCTTCGTAGCAAAGCTATTCATAGTGTACATGCAAACAAAGCAGTATAACTTGTGCTTACCCAGCTATGGCCTCTTGCGTTACTTTGCAGAGAGGGCATCTGCTCTTTAAGGATATCAGATTTACGCTAGACGGGGGAAATGTTAGCGTTACGTTTTGTTGATAATTAACTAAAAACACTGGTTTTACATTACGAACCTAGGGCCCAATCACTTTTTATAAACTATTTCACGTGTTTTTAACACTATGCGGCTAAGGCTTACATTATTTCTTACGCCTTCTTATATAATATCTATTTTAAAAACAAATTAAGTTTATTTCGTGTTACAGTTTGTTAAGTTTAACGAATTCATTTCATTATATCTAACAATTACTAAGTGTAAAAATGTAAAAAAATAATACATATGACACTCAATAAAAAAAATTTAAACTCGACTAAAATCATCGTACTAGTTTTCCTGATATAATTTTGTCTTGGATATTTTGTCTGCGAAAATTTGTCTATGATACTATTGGTCCTGATATATTTTGTCCTTATATCTTTTGTCCGTGAGATCATTTATCCGAGAGATCATTGTCCTGAGACCATTTGTCAGTGAGATATTTTGTCTGAGATGATAAGTCCCTAGATGACTTGTTCTGTCATCATATAGGACTATATATATATATATATATATATATATATATATATATATATATATATATTCAGCTAGTTTGTTTTTCTATTTAATGACCTGACCATGTGGCAAAATTGTATTGCTTATATTTTTCAAATATTGTTTAGATATTTAAAATAAAAATCACAAAAATGATTTCGTATTTCTTCAAGAATAATACACCCAAATACAGAATCAATTTGTTTTATTGTTACTTAAGTTTTGAATTCACCAAATATGATTTTAAAAATATTAAAATACCGTTTTTTACAACAATTGCGCTCTTGTTTACAGTTGACTCGTTTCATGTGCACCATTGCATTACCTTCTTATCTACATGCCGGAAACGCCGATGTTTTATTTCAATGCAGTCATGATCTAGGTTAGACACAATATCATGCATCATTAAGTAAAATGTAACATTTCCATGCTAGGATGTTTTGTGTACTTTCGGAGAATTTCTGTTTTACAATAAATACTATAACTGAACGCGTAAAACATAATGTGAGAAAAAACATTATAAATATTTTCTCAGTGTAGCTTTATGAATTACGATTCTGATGAAATAAATTGTATTTTGAGAGTTGTTTTAAAAATGCTATACTGAATATCTAGAAACGGTCAACTCATTTTCTTAAAAAATTCAGTCTTGTATAATAAGCGCAATAAGATGACTAAAAATTACAATTAGAAATACAATTTTTATTTGTTATTTGTACTAGTAAGTTGATCAATCATGACAGCAGTGATGACGGTTGTTATTTTTCTCTAAACAAAAAGATTTGTTTAAAAATTCAACTGTCCAAATTAAATGTTTGTAGTATATTTTTATGCGTTTCGATTAAATATTAAAGTAATACTTACCAAATCACAAGTAGACCCACTAATTTTTATCTTCAACAAAATGTCATCCTATTGGTACCGTTTTGATCGTTTTGATCGTTGCGGTTATTAATTATAAACCAACTAAAACAAATAATTGTAGAACTAGATAATAGTATATTAAGTTAGATACCGATCTTTAAAAAAAAACGGTACTGCACTATCATTATATGACTTGCGGTTGTCTATAATTTAAAAATTATGGTTTATAAAAATCAATAAAACTTTTGTTATACACAATCTAAAAAAAATTCAACCCTGAACCAGTTAACGTATTTGCTTTTGAGTTAAGGTATTACAGATGGAGGTTGTTTTGTTTTTTACTAGACTTGCAAGATGTTTCAAGTAAAATTATTTTAATGAAAAATGTAAATTAC